GTCTCCCTTTCACTGTCTCTCTCTCTCTGGTCAAATTAAAATAAATAAATAAAAATTAACTTAAAAAAACTTTATTTATTTATTTATTTATTTAAATTTGGCCAGAGAGGAACAGAGTGAGAGAGAGAAAGAAAGTGGGAAAGCAAGCTGCCAGGTCTGGGACTTGAACCACAGTAGGCCATGTGGGAGTCCAGTACCCTTAACCATTGCACTACCTGCTGGCCCCTTAAATTATTCTTATAAAAATGGGTGAAAAATGCTGGCAAGACTGTAGTTGAAAAGGAAACTCTCTTATATTGTTGGTGAAAATGTAAATTAGTATAGCCACCATGGATAACAATATGGAAGTTCCCCAAAGACTAAAACTACCATATGATCAGCAATTTCACTCCTGGGTATCTACCCAAAGGATGGGCATACACTCAGTTGGAAAAAACACCTGTATACCTGCAGCATTATTCACAATTGCTAAGACACAAAACCAACCCAAATGTTCACAGATGAATGGACTGAAAAAGTGTGGCACATATACTATGAAATATTACTCACTCAAAGAAAACAATGAGAACCTGTCATTTGATTGAAAGTGGATGAATATGAGGGACCAGCAGGTGGCATAATGCCTACGTCACTGAACTCCCATGTAGTCGACTGTGGTTCTAGTCCGGAACCCAGTGGCTTAAACTCACACTGGGCATGTGTGTGTGTTTACCCAAGATTCCAAGAGGAGAATGGAAGAGAAGGGATTGTGGCATGGCCATCCCCCCTGTGGGGTGATTTCTCGCTTTCTGTCTCTCTTTCTGCTAGCGCACATGCCCTATAGCAAAAACCTCTCCAAAAAAAGAAAGAAAGAAAGAAAGAAGATGAATGTGGAAGATTTGAGGCTTAGTGGAGCAAATCAGATTATGGAAGAGAGACATTGTATGTCCTACTTAATATATACCAAATGTCTGCACTTTGCTGCAGAAGCTGAAAGATTGGAAGGTATAAAAGCATAGAGAGCCACTGTGGATATTAGAGAGACTGTAGGACAAGAGTGAGAAATGGGGGAGGATGAGAGGGAAGGAATCAAAGACGGGAAAAAAAGCAAAACATTAACATTTAAGGACACAAAAATGGAAAATTATTTGATGATAATGTGTATGGTAGTATCTCTGGCTGGACTAATACAGTGTATCCATGCTGGGAAAATTTGTTTTGTTGAATGTGATGATATACAGTTGAATGTAAAAAAATAAATAAAACAGCACACAAAACAAAAAAAGTGAGGAGAGTGAAGACTACCGTAGGAACTTCTCTTAATCCTCCTTCCTTTCCTAGTAGTGAAACCTCATTTTCCAGCCTTCTTTGTACTTGAGTGTAGTCAAGAGGCTAAGATTTTATCAGCACAATGAAAGCAAAAATAGTACATGAAAAAGGCTTTTGGGGGGGGTATCCTCCTTTGTGTCCTGTGCTGGCAGGAATACAGGCATAATGGCAATATTTCAAGAGCAATTTATTCAATAAATATTTGAGCACCTAGATCTTAGTACATGCATAAGATCCAAGATTGTAGATAAGATCCAGGATTTTATTTTAATATATTTATATAAAAACTGTAAGAAGTTTATTATTACTGATTGAATGTATAAAAGAACTTGAAATAAAATTTTAAAAGTTTAAAAAGAAGTTTATTATTACAAGAAACGTTCAACTAGAATTGATATCCAAACCAGCATTTTGAGTTTCCATAAAAATAGAAACTTCTAATAGAATCCTCTGTCTCAACAGAAGGAATATGGACAACAGCACCAGACTTCTCTATTTCTAAATGTGAGGACTTTCCTGTTCATAACTCAGGTTTGAACTGTCTTTTGTCTGAATCTCTTGTTCTTCCAACTCCAAAGTTTTATTAGAGGCTGAAGCTATAGCTTCCTCTTCATTTTCCTGTAGAAAGCTACACATTATGTTGGCTCTGTAGGAGAAATCATTATCCTTGATTTGCAGCCATTCCACACCACCTATGTTTTCTTCTCCTTCCTTCTTTTCTGTAAGAAGTGTTCTTGTCATGCTGAGCTCTTTCATTGTATGACATTTATATATATGTATATGTATATATATATATATATATATATATAATTTATTATTATTATCATTATTATTTTTTTATGGAGAAGTTTTTGCTATACGGCATGTGCGCTTGCCAGAAGGACAGAGACAGAGAAACAGAAAGTGAGAAATCACCCTCCAGGGGGGATGGCCACACTGCAATCCCTTCTCCTCCATTCTCCTCTTGGGATCTTGGGCACGCATGCACATGCATCTGGCGTGAATTTAAGTCACCAGATCCAGGACTTGAACCGCAGTTAGCTACCTGGGAGTCCAGCGATATAGCCATTATGCCAACTGCTGGTCCCTCAGTGTTTATTTTTAAAAAATAATTATTTAATTTTATTTATTCATTCATTTTATTTTAATTTGACCAGAGAAACAGAGAGAGAGGTGGGGGGTCAGTGAGAAAGCAAGCCACCAGGTCCAGGACTTGAACTGTGTTCAGTCATGTGGGAGTGTCCAGTGTCTTAACCACCATGCCACCTGCTGGTTCCGGCATTTATATGTATTTTTAAAAAGAATTATTTATTTTATTTTATTTATTTATTCACTCATTTATTTTAATTTGACCAGAGAGAGAGATACAGAGAGAGAGAGAGAGAAAGTGAGAAAGCAAGTCACCAGGTCTGGGACTCAAACTGTGGTCGGCCATGTGGGAGTGTCCAGTGACTTAACTACCATGCCACCTGCTGGTCCCCACCAGCAGTTATATTTTAACACTGTTTTATTATTGCCTTCTGCATCTACCTGTTCAACATTTTATTCAAATATAACAGAAGTCCCAAGAGTATCTTCATACTTTCCAGCAAAAAACATAGTTGTTCACTTGCAGAATTAGCCTCTCAGTGTCAATTCCCCAAATCTTGCATTTATTATCACATTTTGAGAGAAGGTCTGAATCAATAATTCCTGAAAATTTGATCAGAATCAACTGCTCCTCCTCTTGCTCCTCGTCATTGTCCTCCCAAATCTGCATCTGCCCAGCTACCATGGTCCTGCGACCTGCTTGTATTCTCCCAGTCCAGGATGGTATTTGTGATAACTCCATGATACAAAATATTTTACCTCATTATACCTCAGGTAATTTTATTTTCCTTTCAGAATTTTCATTGATAATACCTAGAAGTACAGTGTCTTTTCCCCAAACAAATAAATGGCTTTAGATATTCTGCAGGAAATTTGGATGGTGCTTCCAAAACCTGTTGAACTTTTGTTGAAAATTCAAGAGGCAGTCTTCAAAGAAGACAGTAGAAAAATACCTGATTGTAAGAGGAATAAAAATTTGGGAAGATGGGACCAGCAGTTAGTGTAGTGGCTATGTCGCTGAACTCCCATGTAGTCGACCGCGGTTTGAGTCCCGGACCTGGTGGCTTAAACTCATGCTGGGTGCTTGAGCGTGTGTGCCCAAGATCCTGAGAGGAGAATGAAGGAGAAGGGATTGTGGAGTGGCCATCCCCCCTGGGGGGCGATTTCTCGCTTTCTGTCTCTCAGTCTCTCTCTGTCTTTCTGGCGAGTGTACGCGCCCTATAGCAAAAACCTCTCCAAAAAAACAGAAAGAAAATCTGGGAAGATGTATGGGAAAAGCATTAGAACGGAATCAGAAGTTTGTTATTGTGCTGGTAATCTCGGGGAACCAGTACAAAACGTAGTCGTAAGTAATTTCACTTTTCTGGGACTCTTTCTGAATGACAGTGATCTTTAAAGATTCTGGGTTTCGGAAAACCTGGACCAAGTGCTCTACTCTAGGCAGCTCATGGAAATGCAGATGGGCCAAGAGGCAAAAAGGAAAAGGATCCTCTGGGTCTTTGGCTCCCCTCCAGGGATTCACGGGTACTACACCTGAAGTTCGCGTGCACAAACAGTGGTGGGACCTTGGATAAGCCGCTGCCAGGAGGAGGGTTAGGATAGGTCCAACCTACAATCCCGCAAACCATAAAGTGCCTGATCTGGATTTCCGCGCCCCGCCCCCGGCGCCCCGCCCCGGCGCCCCGGGGGGCCGGCCAACCTCTTAATACACGGCGATTGGTCGCGGCAGTGCGCACGGTAGCACTGCGCCCCGCCAACGCCTTCCTACCGCCCCTGGAGCTCCGTCCCGCCCCCGGTAGACTACTAGCTGCGCGCTGATTGGCCACTACGGTGCGCACGGCGCCTCGCCCCGCCCTACCGGCTCCCTAGCTCCGCGCGCGCCTCCCGCTCCCGGTTCCCGGGGTTAAGGTGGAGCCGGAGATCGCCGGCCGGGCCGCGGGGCAGCCGCCTCCTCTTCTGCGCGCGCCTGGGGTTGGCTTGGGCGTCGGAGGAATCTGGTAAGTGCCATCTTCGGGTCTCGGACTCTGGGGGACTCGAGGGGTTCGCGCCTGTCGCCAGCGCATGGGGATGCGCCTCTAGTGGGCCCGACCCGGCCTGCGAGGTTCTGCGGCGTCGCCTGGTTCGCTCTTCCCTGCGCGGTACGTGGTCTGGTCCGGTCCGGCCCGGGACCGCCCCGGCGTACTGCCGGGCGGGGCCTCCGCACTCTCCAGCCCCAGCCCGCGTCCCCTCGGCCTCAGTGGTCGCGACCCCGCTCAGCCGGGCAGGCCGCAGGGCCACGGTGGCTCGCCGTTGGGTTGCAGGAGAGGTCTGGGGAGATTCCGTCTCTTCCTTTCAGCTTCTCAGGGCGCCCGCCAGGGCGGGGGTGACGATTCGTGGGGCACTGCGCAGCCGTGACGCGCCAGTCAGGCTCGAATGAGTTGAGGGCGACCCAAGCCCTTCTTTGAACTCTCGGGTTTGCTCGGAACCACTTAACAGCGTTTTGTCACTTTTTTAACTGCAACCGCACGGGAGTCAAGTGCAGAAGGGAGAGGAAATGGAAGAGGTACAGAATTTTTTGTTAATCCTAAGTGTTGAGTGTCCTTTTAGATAAGTAGCAGCAGAGGCTTGTCACTGTCTCAGTGATCGTTGTGGGTAGGGCCATTTTGGTTTTTAACGAAATGAATTGGCTTCCCAGACAACCCCTGGAAAGGTAAATATGTCTGACCTTTTGAAACCAAAGTGGGAAGATGGACTGGTGGGAGGAGGGGGCGTGGGAATTCAAGCTTCCGATTGGAGTGATGTGTAATAAGCATTATCGCTCTCAGAACCGGTAATTCCTCTTCTCAGAGAGTCCCACCTCTACTCTCAAACTCTCCATCGTATTTGTACTGTAAATTCCTTTCCTTGAACATTACAAAGGCTTGTTACCTTTTTTCATAATCGGTCCTTATTCTCTTCTTTCAAACCTGTCTAAGTTCGAACTAGAGCAAACGTTAAACATTTTTACTGATAATAGCGTTGCAGGAGTCTTCCTTTTCAAAATGAAGTCCGAAAGTTATCTTGACTATCATGCTGCGGGGAAAAGCAGGTGTAAGTACAGCAAGGTGAGGACGTAGGCTTCCTTCTCCTGAGACACACCCTGCTTCCCACCCTCCCCCGTTCCGCTTCTGTCAACTGAGATGACAACAGCTTTTTTTTTTTTGGAGAGGTTTTCGCTATAGGGCGCTTGCAGAGAGAGACAGAGAGACAGAAAGCGAGAGAAATCACCCCCAGGGGGGATGGTCACGCCGCAATCCCTTCTCCTCCATTCTCCTCTCGGGATCTTGGGCACGCACACACACGCCCGGCATGAGTTTTGAGTCACCCGATCTGGGACGTGAACCACAGTGGACTACGTGGGAGTCCAGCGACATAGCCATTACGCTAACTGCTGGTTCCCGAGATGACAACATCTTAACCGGCTAGTCTTTTTTGAACTCACTTCTGGAGTCCAAGGTAAAAAAACTTATTTTATCTATATTTGCATTTTTTAATCATAAAAGTAATGTTCAGGTTGTAAGGAAAAAAAATTAAACCTTACAGAAGAATATCAGGTAAAAAATTAGCACTCACAGACATGTATCAAGTAAAAAGAACTTGTTTCTTCATCATTCACCCTTTATATTCTCAGTTCCACTCCCCATGAGGGCATTTCTACCATGATATTGTCTAGCATAATAAAATAATGACACATTCTGTATCAGTTGACCTGGACCCCTACCTCAGTTTTAAAAGGCGGCATAGGATACTTTTGTTTGGGTATATCTTCAGGTACTTTTTCAGTTCCTCGGTGATGGACCATTTTGATTGTTCCTGGATTTTAGCCGTTTGAAGCTTTGCTGTCTGAAAATCCTTTTGGCATTGTAGGATAAATTTCAGAGAGACAATTAAAACAAATTATTGCACTTCCTATAATTCTATTTCGCAAGGAGTCTTTATGTGACTTGAATATTTTATAATGTAAAGATAGTAACTAAATATATTTGAATTAAATGCATTTCTTGGAATCTGTGTCCTTTTATATTTGGAGACTGAGTCATACAATTTTGAGGACTGTGTTAAATAAATAATGGCAAACTTATTAACCTTGTTACCATGGAGTCCTGTTAAAGTTATATCTTATTTGATTGGCTTTGCAGGAATGACTAGAGAGGGCCTTTAGGAAGTGAAAATGTGGACACATTTTCTCTACATAATGTCCTGTGGTAATCCCTTGAATATCTCACAGAAATCTTTTTTAAAAAATAAATTCTTGGGGCCAGCAGGTGGTGTGGTGGTAAAGGTGCTGGATTCCCACATGGCCCGTCGTGGTCTGAGTCCCAAACCTGGCGGCTTGCTTTCTTGCTTTATCTTTCTCTCTCTGGTCTAATTAACAAATAATAACAAATGGAATTAAATAAATAAATAATTCTTTAAAAAATAATAAATTCTTGGGGGAGCAGCAGATGGCATAATAATTATGTTACTAGACTCCCACATAGTCAGCTGTGGTTCGAGTCCTGGCCCTGGTGGCTTAAAACTCCCTTTTAGTTGGCTGTGGTTCGAGTCCTGGACCTTAAAACTCATGTTGGGCATGTGTGTGCGTGCCCAAAATCCTGAGAGAAGGGTGGACAAGAAGGGATTGAGGCCTGGCTATCCCCTCGGAGGGTAATTTCTCTTCTGTCTCTCCATCTCTTTCTGTCTCCCCTGTGAACATGTGGACCCTATAGCAAAAATCTCTCTCTAAAAAAATGAAATAGGTGGCGTGGTGGTTCAGATGGCTGGATTCCCACATGGCTGACTAGGTCCAGAACTTGAACTGCATCTGACTGTGTGGGAGTCCGACGTAACCATTATACCATCTGCTGTTCCCAATAAAATAATTCTTAAGTAAATTGATTCTTGGGGCCAGCAGATGGCTTAATAGTTATGTTGCTGGACTCCCACATGGCTGACCTTCATTTGAGTCCTGGACCTGGTGGCTTGAAAATCACGCTGGGCATGTGTATGCCCCCAAGATCCCAGGAGGAAAATGGAAGAGAAGTGATTGCAGTGTGGCTATCCCCCGTGGGGGGTAATTTTCCACTTTTCTTTTCTCTGTCTCTGTCTCTCTGTCTCTGGTGAGTACTTTCCTTTTTTTTTTTTTTTTTTGGAGAGATTTTTGCTATAGGGCACGTGCGCTCGCCAGACAGAGACATAGGGGCAGAAAGCGAGAAATCACCCCCCAGGGGGGATGGTCACACCGCAGTCCCTTCTCCTCCATTCTCCTCGGAATCTTGGGCACGCACACACATGCGCCCGGTGTGAGTTTTAAGCCACCAGGTCCAGGACGTGAACCGCGTTTGACTATGTGGGAGTCCAGCGACATAGCCATTACACTAACTGCTGGTTCCCAAGACAAAAACCTCTTTAAAAAAGTAAGATAAATGGGGGTGGGCAATTTTAAATAAATAAATAAATAAAGTTAAAAAAATAATTATAAAAATAAAAAATGGGGGCCAGCAGATGGCATGGTGGTCAAGGGACTCCCACATGACTGACTGTAGTTCAAGTCCAGGACGTGGTGGCTTGCTTTCTCACTTTCCTTTTCTCTGTTTCTCTCTCACATTTGCTCTCTGGTCAAATTAAAATGAATAAATAAGTGAAGTTAAATAAAATAATTCTTAAAATAATATTTATTTGGGGGGCTAGCAGGTAGCATAATGGTTAAGGTGCTGAACTCTCACATGGCTGACTTTGGTTTGAGTTCTGGACCCTGTGGCTTGAAATTTGTGAAATTCGTGTGTGTGCATGCATGCCCCAAACCCCCAGAGGAGACTAGAGGAAAAGGGATTATGGTGTGGTCATCCACCCCCACTCCAGGGTGATTTCTCACTTTTTTTCTTGATGAGTGCATGCATTCTGTAACAAAAAATCCCTCTTAAAAAAGTGAAAACATAAGTAAAATTTTTTGTTGTGTAGTGAGTCTTAGGCACAAAAAAAAGGTATAGAAAAGGAGCCAGCAGGTGGTGTGTTGGTTAAGGCGCTGGAATTCCCACATGGCTGACTGCAGGTCGAGTTCTGAACCTGGCAGCTTGCTTTCTCACTCTCCCTCTCTCTCCCTGACAAAACTCATGTGAAATAATAATAATAACAACAATAATAATTAATAAATAATTCTTTAAAGAAAATAAAAAATGGGGACCAGCAGATGGCATAATGGCTACGTTGCTGAACTCCCATTTAGTGGACCATGGTTTGAGTCCCAGACCCGGTGGCTTAAACTCACGCTGGGCACGTGTGCATGCGTGCCCAAGATCCTGAGAGGAGAATGGAGAAGAGTTAGCTTAATGGCTATGTTGCTGGACTCCCATGTAGTTGACCGCGGTTCGCGTCCTGGACCCGGTGGCTTAAAACTCACGCCGGGCGCGTGTGCGTGCGTGCCCAAGATCCCGAGAGGAGAATGGAGGAGAAGGGATTGCGGTGTGGCCATCCTCCCTGGGGGGTGATTTCTCGCTTTCTGTCTCTCTGTCTCTCTCTGTCTGTCTGGAGAGCGCACGCACCCTACAGTGAAAATCTCTCCAAAAAAAAAAAAAGAAAAGAGAAAATGTATAGAAGGTACAAAAGTACATCAGAAAGGTCATGGAAAATTGGAATTAATTTTGGTGCAAACAGTTTTGCAATCCCTGCATAGCATTATTATGAGTTTTCCATAAACTTTTCAAGACTCCTTGTATATCTAATTTAAAAAATACTATTACAGTGATCACCTTTGTATCCATCACCAAATTAAGAAACAGTAAATTTTTATTTTCCATCCAGATGTAGCCTCTATCCTGATTTTTGTGTTAAATCTTTCTTTTTTATTTAATAATATTTATACAGATAGACATGAATACACACACATCACAGTCACACATATATCTGTAAGTATTTACATAGAGCTACATAAATGCATATATACATTCATATCCCTATGTCCTAAACAAAACAATAATTTTTTTTTTTGAGAGGTGTTTTTGTTTGTTTTTTTTTTTGCTATAGGGTACATGTAATCGCCAGAAAGAGAGACAGAAAGCAAGAAACCATCCCCCAGGGGGGATGGCCACACCACAGTCACTTCTCCATTCTCTCAGGCAAGTGCCCGGTGTGAGTTTAAGCCACCGGGTCCGGGACGCAAACCATGGTCAACTACATGGGAGTCCAGCAACATAGCCATTATGCTGACTGCTGGTCCCAATAATTTTGTTTTGAATGAAGTGTTACAAACAAGAGTATCATACAAATAGCATGTTTCAAAGTTTTATTTTACTGTTATTGAGAATGTAACAAGCTGGTGTTAGGGGGATTAAAGGAATAAATATTTAGTTCACAGAGAAAGGAGTGTCTCAGTATGCTAAATTATATATAATTGGTTACTGTTTCACAGGGTAACAGACTCATAATACCTCTGGGATTAATTTTTGCTACGAGGCTATAAAATCATAACACCTTATTAATTTTTGCACTTAAACGTTACAGGACCATAAGCTAAGTAACATCTTTATTATAAATGGATTATCATCA